TTTATTTTTTCGTCAGAATGGTACAAAACTTGGTAAAGGTTTTGGCACTTGGCATGTGAACACACACACTTGCACTACTCGCAGTCAAAATGACCGCATTGGAAAAGAGTGGGAAGCAAATTTCCTTTAGTGGAAATGCATGGTACTGCGCCTGACCAAAATCTTACTGAAAACTCTTTTTTTTTATATCAACCTCAACTTTGGAACACAATTAGTTTAGATTTAGGGCTTTGATTTTTGAGTTTGAATTTAGTAAAACATGTTTTGGAAAATATATATTTCATAAAAAATATTTGTATACTTTTGTCATTATAATTTAAAGTACTGTAATATTGTTTTTAGTGTCAATTCAACTTTTTTCACTTCAGCAATAATCTGCAAAGTCTTCTTTAAAAAGAGACCAAAAATAAGTGTGTGCTACAAAGCATTCAAGATTTACAACAGTTTAAGTTGTACATTTCATTTCCAGGTCTATGCTCAAAAAGTTGGTAAGATCATAACTATTCTATATATATATATATATATATATATATATATATATATAAAGGCCATTTTTAACCACCATCTGAGGAGCACCAGAAGGGTTAAAGGTTAAGGTTTTTAGTGGCATTGATCCACTTTTAACATCTTTGGAACCTTTCCATTGAACAATGTTTCTTTATATTGGAAAAAAGTTCTATAGATTATTAAAATGTTCTTCACACAAAGAAAAAAAAAACTTTTTTACTGAAAGGTTCTTTGAGGAACCCAAAATAGTTCTTCTATGGCATCACTGCAAAATATAAATAAATAAATAATAAAGGTTCTTTGTGGAAAAATGTATGCCAATAAAGAACGTTTATTTTTAATCTACTTGAGAGTTTTGGGGTGTAAACTGTTTAACAAATGAATTTATTTAGTCTCTTTTAATTACAGCAAATCAAAAATTTGTACATGTACATTCAAAGACTTTAATCATGTCCATACCTTCCACAGACCACAGCACGGGGAAGTCGTAGCAGTTGGATGTGGAAGAGGAGTCCGTGAAGCAGGCCCTCCACAGACTGGACCAGTACCAGCCCACTGTTATGACGGCGCTCCCACCTTGCCCTCCGATAGAGGAGATCTTCCAGCACTCCATGGCCATGGAGCAGGCGACAAAAATCCAGCCCAGTACCGCTAACAGGAAGCCCCAGATCTGCATTACACGAATCTTCATCACTGTTTTCCCCACTTATCTAAACCACCTACCTCACACTTTATTATTTTGTCTTTCTTTTCTTATCAAAACTTTGTCACTTCCAGCATCTCTTTCTCTGTCTTCTGCAGTATCAACATGTCAGTTCATGATCCGTTAAACTGTTTCTTCCCAAGAATCTGTTAGCCAGCTCTGCCCGACACTGGCCACTAAACACCCTTCTTTTTTTGTGCTGATGTGAATCTATGACTCTCCATGTTCCCAGGGCCTTGTTTTTAAGTTTCTGGAGGACAGAGAGAACGCTTACCTCGGTTCTCAGCTCATATTTCATATATATAAACATCCCAGTGAGGACATGCTACATGCAGGCCAGCGGTCCAGTTTTAAACTCCTTATTCATCATTATCTGCATTTATTTTTAATATCATACAGCACAGCACAGGGTTTTGTGGAAAAAGTACACTTTAGCACACTTTTAAAAAGTGTATGTATGGAAAAAAAAAACTTTAAAAGAATACACTCAAGTGTGAATTGAATCTAATGTTTTCAGACACTTAATTGCTTAATTGCATCAAAATGCCTTATAGTTTAAATTTATATTAAATCCCGTTTAGAGTGCTTTTTGCCACATTTAAGTAGCTCTTTATATGTAATTTCGTAATTATTTCTATTGTGTTTAAAATATGGTTACTGCTGAAAGTAATGACGGTAAACTAAAATATACTTTCCTTTAGCTTCTATTGAAACCTGTATATCTTGTATTTAAATATGTTTGTCATTACACATTTGTAATGAAATTGCTATTTAGTATATTTAAAATATATTAAATTTAAATGTAATATTGAATAACACTACAGTTAACAAAGTAATTTACATGTGCTTTAGTATGTTAGTCAACAGATCAAACATAAGTGTACTTCAAAGCATGGCAAAAAATTCAAACATAATGATACTTAAAGTAAAACTTTTAATTTTACATTTTTACAAAGTGCATTATTGCAAAGTATGTTACATAGTCATGAAATTATATTCTCTGAAAGTACACTTAATGGCCTTTATTATCTGTATCTATTATCTGTAAATACAATTTTATTAAAACACATTTAAAATTTGAAGTATACTACAAATGCACATTCAGTAGTTAAGCACACTTATTTTTCATTAGAGGGTGCATAGGTTAAATGATGTATTTATAGGTACTATTCAGGGCCGTTTTCAAAAGGGCCTTTATTTTTCCAGAAAATAGCCTCAGGGTTCATAACATTATTAATTTCACAAAAGTGTGTGTGTTTGGTTTGTGTGTGTGTGTGTGTTAATACACTATGTCCCAGAGCTGGCGTTTGATGTTGCTTTATGAACTTGGGTCAGGTTTAGAAGGTCTTGAGACCTGAGAATATAAAGATCAATGCTTTCTTGATGGTTTTACCTAATGAAGGCAAGATGAGTATGTTGAATTATGACTCTGGAAGATTCTAAACCACTGAGTGTCTCTTTAGAAATAGCGCTTCACCTTTAGACACATTATGTTCAGTAGCAGGGATATTCAGAGATGTCTAAAACAACACCATGATGCCCTCTGCTGGCCAATTTTGCATTCGATCACTCCTGATGGAGGTTATTTGTCTGTACAAGTTGTTTATTAGTGGTACTTGCTAAATTTGAACAAATCTGTAACCCCAAGCATTCAGATTTGGTGCAGAAATTGTCCTTCACTATTTGTGGTACAGTTATGAATGATACCTCAAATTGAGTTATTGTTGAGCGTGGATTGAGGAGTGTCATTACTTTTCTGTGAAATCAAACAGGAAAATGGGTGAAAAATCCCATAGGCTTGAACTGAAGAAGTGACCCAGCCGTAGAGATCAGAATATAACAGAAACATAGTAAACAACCATCCGGTAACGCTCTAGAAACCACACAGTAAATTGCTGACAGCCGCATGGCAAGGCCCTGGTATTGCAACCATCCAGAACAGCATTATTGTGACAAGATTTTCACAAAACCGGTGAAGAACATATCCAAGTCACATTTAACTCCCAAATCAAAAGAATAATAAAAAAAATCATATTAATTATATGGAGCATAAAGGAAATGAGGCCTATTCACAGGACCATTACCATCTACTGGTTAGTTGTGACATGAACTTGTAGTGCAGATCAGAAGGCTAATTTGCTAAATTGTTACATAACGACTCGCTCCGTCAAAAAAGTAAACATCCTTGTGATTTAGTACTTAGACATTTTAAAAAAGAAGTTTATAGGAAACTTCTAAAAACTGAACATTAATAGTTAGCACATAAAATGATTTTCTTCAATTAAAAGCATTACAACACATTACCATAATGTACAAATGAATTTTTCTGAGACATTTCTTTTAAATTAACATTTTTATCAGGCTCCTATGTTTTGGTTCAGTAATTTCACTTTAGTGGCAAAGAAAAGTCAGTTATTGAATGCCTTATTTTCAAAAATGTCCAATGATATTTTCATAGAAACTAAAAAGAAAATTAAAAAAAGCTGATTTGAAAGAAGAATCTCAGATGGACTTGGAGGTTTTTGCATCTAAAGTCTTAATTTGTACGTTATGGTAATAATGTTTCATTTACTACTTTATGTATGTATGTATTTACTTATTTTCATGACATTAATGTAATGAAAACATTCATGTCCCTATATGGATATAAAATGATTTTCAATAAAGCTTACTTTTTAAATAATGTATTTTTCTTTTCAAAAATACAGTAAAATAAGTATAATATTGTAAAATATTATCACAATTTAAAATGATTCCTATTTTAATGTATTTTAAAATGCAATTTATGTCTTTGATGCAAAGCTACATTTTTAACAGGCATTACTCCAGTCTTCAGTGTCACATGATCCTGCAGAACTCAAAAATATTATTATTATTATTATTGTTGTGTTGAAAACAATTGCGCTGCTTAGAATTTTTGTGGAAACCATGATATATTTTTTTCAGGATTCTTTGATGAATAGAAAAGAACAGCATTTATTTGAAATAGAAACATTTGTAACATTATAAATGTCTACAATTTTTATCAATTTAATGGGGTTTTTTTCTGAATAGAAGTATTAGTTTTTCGAACAACCTAGTATGAGAGCCTGTTCTAGTACACCCCCAAAACAAAATCAAGACTTTGTAAAAGAGCATAATAGGACACCTTTCAAAAAAAGTAATGTATATATTTAAAAAAAAATATTTAAAACAATAATTGCAATATTTATGGAAACATTAATTTGTCTGTGGTCTTTGGACTAATACAAATCCCCCAAATTTTGAAGGACAGTCCAAGACAATAATGGCCTTTATTATACTTTAAAACCTTCTTACAAAAAAGCACAGAGACACTGAACACTTGTTTAAGGAAGAATCTGACAGAACAAGAAGCCTCTGCCAGCCTGCAGCGGCCCACGGAAGCTCTAAAACCCGGGTCAGAGTCTAGAGTTTCCACTGATCACGAGGTGAGGAGAGACTCCAGGACCAGAGCAATATGTGAGTTCCGACTCAATTTCCGATTCCAGACAACATGTTCCTCTGGTCAGTGAAGCACAGCTGTTCTCTCTGTCATCGGTTCACCTGACTTCATTCAAAGTCCCAAGTGAGGAAATCTGGCAACTCTATCACATTGTCAGACCTGGAAAGTTTGCTTGAGGTTTCTTAGGCAATATGTGTTTTCCTGACAAAAATGTCTATGCCGCAATATATTGTTTATAGGCATATCTCATCAAAATAACCTCTGAAAATAATCTCTGGATTCACCCAGATAGGATATATATATATATATATTTATAATATATAACATTTACCTCTGTGCAGTCTCCTCAATGCCTCGAATGATAAAAGCAGCCTTGTGCTTGTTGGCCTTCACTTGTAATTCAAGAATGCTGAGAACAGATCCTGCCCAGCCAATGAAGAGTGCCACGCCAAGTTCAAATCTAAAATCAGACACGTAGAAGACGTGTCCGTAATAATCTGGATTGGGATGCATATTAGCAATTGCTGGAATGTTACAAAACTTACTTCTGTTTCACAAATAAGGGGTCAAAGAATTCTGATGTTATCCGGTGTGCATAGAGAGAGCAGGCGGTCATAGAGCAGATTCCTGGAGAGAGGACGGGTATATGATTACAGGACACTGTCAATCGCAGAAGCAGGAATTGCAAATGCTTTAAAAAACAATAAGCCATGACCTAGCTCAGGCAACATTTACCACCATCCTGGCTTTGGTGGTCTCTGATCCCCCTATTTTAGTGCACTTCATGCCCACTAGTGCCAGGATAGCTCCAAAAAATCCCAAACACACAGCTGAGATCATCAGTCCACGACACACCTGGATATAAGCTGCAGGAACAGGAAAGCAGAAGCCATATATAATCACAACAAATAATTTACAATAAACTATAAAAATGTATTACATGATTACTAGGATGAATCAATTTTTTTTTATTTTGTTGTTAATATTTTACTTCTTATGTGTATGTTATAGTTATTTTGATAATAATGTATATATAGATAAACATTTGGTAAAATTATGATAATTATAAATAATTATAAATTATTACTCCAAACCTGTTATTATAAATGTATAATAATTAATAATGTATAATATAATTTTTCATCATCAAATAATTAAAATATATATATATTTATAAAAATAAAAGCTGGAAGTTATACAGTTACTATAATTATAAAGTGAACTTCAAGACAGTACAAAAAATGATACATTTTTGCTGTAAACATGGCAAAAATGGATAAGTGCATAATTTTCAGCATAATTTAAAAGTCATTTTTTCAATAACATCTCATTTATGTTATGATATTACATTTAAATGATCAGACTTATAATTTTCATCTGGCAGAAGATGGATTGCATTGTGCAAATAAATCCCATATCACATTCACACACCTGAATGACAGAATACATACAGAACACACTTTCACTGGGATGCAGCAAAAATGTACTTCTTTTTGAAATTCTGCTTGATGCTGCTAGTGGTGCATAAATCACAAACTTCACATTTAAATGAATGTAGCATCTTTCACTGAACTTTCTAGTTAGCCGTCAAGGAGGTCACATCACAAATATGCGCAGCTTCAAACATGACAATTATGCATTAATATCATTTAAATGCATAACCTGTTCAACTACCTGCTTTTGCTCTGCACCCCGAGGTAACAAGGTTCTCTGTTTTTACTAAAGCTTCCTTCTGTTTGTGGGTGAGCCATTCAGACACAATTAAGCCAACGCATGGTTATTAAACCCTGTTTTACTTGCCTTGAGATACACATTCCTGCAGGTTGTAACTGGCGTAATAAGTCAGGGAAATAGAGTTTGAGACAAGCTGAATCATTTTGCATCTCTTTTTAGCACTAAAATAGAGACTTGGTTCTTCATTGCATTCTTAAATTGGTGTCAGCATGCATTAAGTGCAATTTTAGCACAATAAACTCTCTGTTTAAATGGTCAAGTGATCGGTTTGGCTTCAGTTTGTTTGTGTTGTGGAAGCTTCTGCCAAAACAGCATTAGGGCAATCCAACACCATGCTACTCTTTTCCGAACAATTAGACAGTTGCACTCTCTGGAGGAAGGAAGAAGGACTGACAAACGATCAGCAATTTTCATAAACACACACACACACACACACACACACACACATTCAGATCATTTACTCAGAAAATAATTGAAGTCAACAAATGCTTGAAGAAAGCAATAAAATACCATCCAGTGCAAGCATAGAAGGAAAGTCCTTGCAGTTGGAGACTCCGGTTGAATCCGTAACGCACGTCTTCCAGAGATTGGACCAAAAAGTTGCTGTGGTGATGACTGTCCCGTCCACTGACGACACTTTCCAGTAGTCAGTTGGGAGCGTAGAGGAGATCAGAATCCATCCGGATATGGTGAGAAGGAAGGCAACAATCTCTGTTGCCATATTACCCATTTTCCCACGTTCTGTTAAAGTGAAATGCAAAGAAAGGTCTGGTCAAGGCAGGTAGTAATTTGATAAGGGGTGCTCAGACAGAATTGTCTGTCGATGGGTCGCCCCTCAAAGTTGCTTTATATTCAGCAGGGAGGGCTCTGGCTACTAACCTTTTCAACAGCTGACCAACAGTCTTTTGTTTTCACATTAACTACCCACAACACCACACACACTCGCATACACGCACCCACCCAAACATCACTCCGCAAGAATCATTTTGAGTGAGTCGGCAAAGATGCTGGAGGTCAGGAGGTGAGTACATTAAAGATGGCTGTTATTGAAAGGGCCTGAAAACCCAACGCCTCCAGCGGATATTGGTGAAAAGTGTTCAGATAAGAGTCTGATGTGAGAGATGTCATTTTGCATAAAGGATTGATTTGAACCAGTGATATTTTTGGTATTACTGGGATACTATTATAGTTATAGGGGGGGGGGGGGGAAAACTTTTGAATTTGGAGATCAGGGTAAATTTAACTTATTTTGTCTTTTGGGAAACAAGTAGGTATCTTCTGCAGCCTCTGAAGGGCAGTACTAAATGAAAAAATATGATATTTAGGCAAAATAAGAATGCAAACTTCATTCTGTTTAAAAGTTCAAAAGGCTCTTAATGCATGGCTTTTCCTTCTGAAGCATCTGTGAGCATTTGAACCTTCTGTAATAGTTGTATATGAGTCCCTCAGTTGTCCACAGTGTGAAAAGATGGATCTCAAAATCATACAGTCATTGTTGGAAAAGGTTCAAATACACAAAAATGCTGGAATTTGTGGGAGAATTTGTGATTTTGGGACTTGAAGGATTTTTCTGAAGAACAGCAGGCAGTTTAACTGTTCAGGACAAAAAAATGGGCCTCATGAACAACTATCACTAAAAAACACAACTGTGAATCATTCGGATAACAACACAGTATTAAGAATCAAGTGTATGTAAACTTTTGAACGGGGTAATTTTTATAAATTCAACTATTATATTCTTGTGGACTGTAAACATCTTTTATGTGAAATATCTTATTCAGGTCAGTACGAAATTAACAATAACATGCATTTTGTATGATCCCTCTTATTTTGGTAAAATAATTAACATTTTGCAGATTCTGCAAGGTGTATGTAAATTTTGACTTCAACTGTATGTGTATATATCTATATCTATACACACACACATACACATGAATTGTTGCCATCTAGAGGTAAGAATTTGGGTAGACTGTGGCTTCTTTTCAACATGACAATTCTTTAACCATCATAAAAGTATATAATAATATGTCAGCATCAGGTTTTGACTTACACTCCTATTCATGTTTGTGCATTTGTCCTAACAAAATTGTTTTATAATATAGTTTGCACAAAGTGTAAGAGTAAGAGTAAGAGTGCCTCAAGAACTGGAGAGTGTGAGAGTGCATGTAAAATATCCACACTGTCTAAAATTTCAGACAGGCTTCCTGTGTGCTCGCTTCACCTTGAGCTTAAAATAACAGATCTTCACTTTAGTAAAATGCCACGGGTGTTTTACTGCTACTTGATAAAAAAAAGACATATTTGTCAAGAATATTTAAAGGCTAAATGTTTTTGTATAAGTTTGAGTGCATGTTTGTGTAACCAGGAGGCACCGGTTAGCGGTGGTCAGACGGGTCTTCCTGCCCGTTCTGTCTCAGATCCTGTTAATGGTTTCCCTCCGTCCCCCCAGAGGGAGTTACAAAACATAACCTGACCTGAGCAAAACATGAGGCTTCTTCAGTCAACAGCTGCTCGCCTCAGCCAAGTACACATAAATTACAATTATGTAATGTTTCAGGTAGTATCAGTTACATTGATAATTCAATTTAATAACTTATTAGGTCAATATAACAACAATGTCATATCAGGACCATAATGAAACAAAATGAATAGGCTACAAAAATAACCAAACTAGATTATTTATATGTTCTAAAGAAACTGTGAATGGCACAAAAGTTGGTAACATGATGTTAGGGTGTTTTTGGGAAATTTAATTGGGGTTCAAATAAAACAAATACACATAGAAGTACATAAAAAGTAAGTCGTGATGGGGGCTTTCGAGCTTTGTGAAGTTTCGAAAACCTTTGTGAATCTTTTACGTTAACATTTTTTTTAATCAAAATGCTTTTCTTTTACTGCTAAAGTAAAGTCACATGATTTCAGTAGACAAGGCTTCATTTTGTCATAGCTGTTTTGAAGCGTTACGAAATTTAAATGGTTTGCCATTAGGGGGCAATCTCAGTGAAGTGTCTATATGTTTTTACCTGATCTCAGATCAGTTTTGTGTGTGTATCTAAAATGCTTTTAAGTATGAAGGTAGAATGACGTCAAAAAGATTTGCATACGTAGCATGAAGCTGCAGTTTCACAATACATGAATTACACTTACGAATAACAGTAAAATGCTGCAAATAATTTTTTCTTGCGCTTGAAACACGATTTACACCTTTACAAAGCTTCTGTTGCGCATGCAAATTTAATTTACGCTTACAGTCTTATGTACACTTCCACAACTCTTACCCTGCGTATGCAAATCTTTTTGACGTCATTCTACCTTCATATTTAAGCCCTACCAACTGGATCTCATGAGAAAACGTAACTATTTTACGAGCTGCCGATTTTGTATGAATTCGTACAATGTGATTTGTACAGGAAGGTACAATTTTTTTTAGAAAAATTAAACCTAATCATCAGTGGGGCATAAGCAAATCATACAAAAACATACGAATGAGATTGTACGAATTAATCCGAATTTAGCCACCAATTCACCAAAATGTAAAATAGTTTTTTTTTAAATTGCAATTAGAGTGAGTTGGCCCTACAACCATCGGGTTTATCCGCACAGAAAATAGTGCCGAACTGAAGCACAAAAGACGTAAAACAACTTTGCAACAACATTTTTTTTTTCACATTAAAATGTGGTTGGTATTTGTGGTAGTGGCTTACTGTGAAAAACAAAAAAGTCAAAAGGCTTTTCAATGTAAATCTATGACACTGATCTATATATTATATTATATAGATCAGTGGTCTACGACAACGAAAACAACTAAATAAAATGCAAAATTGCTAATAACTTATGTTCCACTAAACATGTTACAGAGACATTCCCTCTTATACCCGTGGTTTAAGCAGCCTGCAATTGTTTTGCAGGTGAGCTGTTGCTGAGGTCAGCGAGAACGTCAAACAAAATATCTGCCACCATAGCAACTACAAAGATTCCCTGGAGGAGATCCCTGTGCTGAGGCAAATTAAACACGTGTATCACCTCCAATGTGCAATTATGTTGTTGCAAATTACATTTGTGAAATTAATCTTGCCATATGAAATGGAGAAAGTGGCAGTTTTATGATTGCAGAATAATTCAGATCGGGCAGATTGAAGCATGCTGACTGAGATATGCAGTTATTCATCCTCAGGAAGCGTAAAGGTCACAAACCTCAGGTCACCATGACATAAGACTTTGACTTCTTAGATAACTATGAAAGACTTTAATGAGTCACACAAAGCTAGTTTATATTTGCATGCCAGACAGAGTACCTCTGCGGTTAACTAAGGTTAAAAGATTTACCTGTTTATGACAGAACGCTTGATAAGAATAACTCCAATTGCTGATGACATTCCCAGGAAATTTGCTTGAAAAAAATGTACATGACTGTACATGCTTATGTGCAACGCAGCACACAAATTTGAGTTTTGTAACCTTGAAGTATATTGTTTGGGATGCTCAGACAGAGGTAAGGTTAAAGGTATATTCACCCAAAAATGAACATTTGCTAAAAATGTACTCACCTTCAGGCCATCCAAGATGTAGATGAGTTTGTTTCTTTATCAGAACAGATTTGTAGAAATTTAGCTTTAAATCATTTGTTCGCCAATGGATCCTCTGCAGTGAATGGGTGCCGTCAGAATGAGAGTCCAAACAGCTGATAAAAACATTGCAATAAACTACAAGTAATCCATTCCACACAACCCCAGTCCATCAGTTAACGTCTTGTGAAGCAAAAGCCTGTGTTTGTATGAAACAAATCCATCATAAGGGGGGTTTAAACTGTTGTTTCTGACCTAAATATGAGTCCATAAACCATAATAACACTTCCTCCAGTGAAAAAGTTCATCCTCCGTTGTCCTCTTACATCAAAATCCACTGACATATTTGTTTAGTACTGGTTTGGACTGTTTTCACTTGTAAATGATCTGTGCATAGTTCTCTCCTGATTCAGACAAGACAACTTTTTCACTGGAGAAAGGAATCACTATTACAGACGACTCTCATTTTAGCAAAAGTTTGAAGTTAAAAATGTCTTAATGGTGGATTTGTTTCTTACAAACACACAGCTTTTCGCTTCACAAGACGATAATTGATGGCCTGGTGTGGATTATTATGTTTTTTCAGCTTCCCATTCTGACGGCACCCATTCACTGCACATTGGTGAACAAGTGATTTAAAGCTAAATTTCTCCAAATCTGTTCTAAAAACTCATCTACATTATGAATGGCCTTAGTGCGAGTACATTTTCAGCAAATTTTAATTTTTGGGTGAACTATGCCTTCAAGAGTTGGCCTATTTCAGTGCTGTACACTGTAGAGATGTGAAAAATGGAATCTGTTTTTTAATATAAATTATGGCTCTATTTTTTTTATCTGACCTGACGCTGATGGCTG